AGACGCGGAATTGTACTTTTTTGATACGCAACGACTTATCTAAGCAATAAAAACTGTTACGTATAATTAAATAATCTTATACGAATATGTTATATTATATATTATAAACACTTCCCATTATAAGATATACACGATGACTTTTATAGAAATTCTGATATCGCTTGATTCCTTAAAATAAGATAGTTGATAACACAGGCACACAAAAAATAAAAAGTGTCTTGGCCGAGACACTACACTAGTGTATTCCCATGTATTTTGACCCGCTGAATCCGAATCCGAAGTCAGAATTGTCAGATTGGCTCTCTGTTCTGAGCAACCCTAAAAAAAAGTGTTCGTTTTTCGTGGAGTTTTGAACTTTTTTTGAGGTTTGCTCGGAACTGAGAGCCAATCTGACAATTCTGACTACGGATTCGGATTCAGCGGGTCAAAATACATAGGAATATACTAGTCTGGTATACAGGCTAACCCACTTTTTTTTGTGTGTGCCTGTGCACAGGCATACCAGACCTCACAAAAAGTGTTCGTTTCGTTGAGTTTTGAGGTTTGCTCGGACCTGAGAGCCAATCTGACAATTCTGATTTCGGATTCGGATTCAGCGAGTCAAAATACATGGGAATACACTAGTATAGTGTCTCGGCCAAGACACTTTTTATTTTTTGTGTGCCTGTGTAATTAATGCGTATATTCATACGTAAACACTATGCTCTTTAAATCAATATAACAAGAAATTAATGTAATCATTATATGTTTCTTAATAATTCGTAGGGCGAAATGATAGAAACATTGAATAAATTTCATCAACATAATGGATATAAAACAATTGATCAGAAATCATTTAATTTCTCATATCACTATCAATAGTTTAAAGCAAGAAGCCGCAAGATGGACATGTGCTTTCGGTTCTTCTGAATGCAAAAAACAGGCCCATTTTGAATTAAAAACATATTTAACTTATCGGAAAAGGTATATGTATATTTTTTTCTTAATTTTTAAACTTTTAATTAAAGTAGCTCTCATATTTAAGCAATTTATAATTATGCAATGCTTAATGAATTATCTGATCAAGATGCAAGAGCACGAGCACAATAAATCTCACCCGTAAATAATTAATAAACTTTTTTTCTAATAGGTATTACAACCCTTTGCCTTGGTGAAAAGAATGGATAAATTGTAATGGCGTAATAACAGCAGATAATGATACTTGGAATAAAGTGTTTGTAAAATACATGAAGGAACCTAATTATATACTTTCAAAATGCCTTTTGTTGATAAAAATTAACACAAATTATGCACTGAAGTCGATGACCGTATGACAAAGAGTTTTACCGAAACATTATGATGTCGAGCCATTGATAAACATCGAGAGTCGTAAATTTAACGGACATCCGATTTTATTATCCACCATTAATCACACAAGAGACGTCGTAAGTTTCCACACAGTAAATTTAAATATAACTGAAACATTAATTCTTAATTGTATATAATCGCTCTTACATTGAGAAATTGCAAATTGTGAATCTATTTCTTATTTTACAGAATACTCACGATATATGCAGTTGTAAGATACGTGAATAATATTCATTACTTTGAGAATTCTTGATGTTTTCACATTATACTTTCAGATTACTTTAAAAAATTTATTGCAAATATAATTATCTTCGGTGTTTTCATTGTTTTCATATTTTGCAAACTTTTATATTTGCAATATTAAACATCCTATATTTCAACATAATAAAAATCTCTCTCTCTCTCATCTGCTTATTAAGAAACAATTACCACGTAGTACTTTTATCAAAACAAAAACTTCTAGAAAAGTCAACACTGTCATATATCCCCTTTCGTTATACTCTCACCTTAGCCATCTAGTTAGATACATTGTGTACTTGTTATGATACCTATTGCCTCGTCAGTTTTCGAAGATTTCTCAGGACAGTCAGACCGTTCTCCTTACATTCTCGTATTGAACAATCTTTCACAGCCGCATCAAGGTAAGAATGCGATAACTGTAGCTAATTGCTCTAAAAATTATATTCTAATCGGCACACAATTTTAATATATTATACATATTTTAGCTACATTTCAACATTTACTATCAACAACTGTCAGTACTGCATGAAAATCTATAGTATATTATGTGACATAAAATATATTTAAAAAATATAACATTTTAGTACTGACAGTAAATATTAGAATGCAGCCTACATCTTCAGGTATAAGTTGTACTTTTACTTAAACAAGAATGCAACAAACACGCAGCACGCAGCGTAGAACACGTTTGAATCATTCGAAAGACGGAATTCGAAGTATATTGCGGTTTACAATGCAATTACTTGCTTTAATTTATGTTATATATTGTTATATTAATATGTTTATATATTATTAAAGTAATTTAAATTGACCGTGACTGGCAATATATAACGTCTTTTTTGATATGAACATTGAAAAACTGTGAGCCAACTTGGTTTGTCGGATTCACACAGCACTTTTTTCGGATCAATCATCGAGACATTATTAATTTTGACCATGGGTTTTGGTCAGTTGATGTAATTTCTAAATTAAATAGTTTTTAAATTTTATTGCGAAAAATATTACCCCAGCCAAGGTTTGAACCTGGAACCTCCCGTATACCGTGATTTATATATTATGTTATATTAATATGTTTACATTAAGTGTTATATTAAAAATATCAAAATGTCAAAAATAAATAAATATATATAATTTTGCTTTATAAAAATTTAAAAACCTTACTGTGCACAATAAAGTGATAATAATCAAAACTCTTCTGGTCAAAGATTATTTAAAGAACAATCGAAAAGCAAATGTAAATCGTAATGCCATAATATAAAATAAATAAGATATACAAGAAAATCTTGACATACAATAATAAAACGTATATTCTATTAGGAGATTCATAAAATTTGTGAAAATGTAATCTCTGATTTAGATATAATCATAAGACGCGTGATGAAAAGAATGCAAGAAGAATGCGATATTATAACACGACGTAAATATATTTTGCGAAACATGTTATTGTGAGTGGAGATGATGATGATTGTAGGAGAGGAGTATGCAGATGGTTAAGATGCATGTGGAGAATGTGTCCCCAAAAATATCATGTGACTCTTTGTAATGCGAGTCGCGATAGTAAAAGACTCCACAAGTATGTGCACACCAATTTGCTCTTGTTGATAGCGTCGTCCGATGAGATCGTAGAAGAGAGCGCGTCGGTCAGGGCAACGAGTATTGTTGCCGATTTTGTTTACATATTTTAGTCGGCGCGACCGAGCGTGAAGAAAGCGCGTTTTGCCCGCGAGCTAGCGGTTTAGTGTGGTATCATCTTGGTAGGGGCACACGCGGCCACCGCAATATAAAATAATTTTTATATTGTAAACAATAAATGACAAAACTCTGCGCTGCGTTTTGAATGACAATTCGTACCTATAATGTATCTTGTGTTTCATAAATAATAATCTTTTCTACAAATATCTGCAACGAAAATTGGCATGGAGTCCTTCATACTATTATTTAAGAGCCTACTATTTCTTTGTGTGGCAACACTAGCTACGGATGAGAATTCAGGAAATAACGATAGATTGACAGATCCCGGAGACAGTTTACCAGACAATGTAATCCCGCTAAACTATGAAGTCGATTTGGAACTAAATGCCACGTACAACAATATTTCTTCTCGCGGTGAATTCAAAATCTCCATTCTGGTCAACCATCCAACGAAAAATATAAGTTTTCACGTAGACAGATCGCAAGTACAGGAATTACGTAATTGTATAATAAGGCATTCGGAAAGTACAATACTACAAATATATATTATCTGTCAAGAAACAAGCCAACATACAATAATGATACTGACATACATACAATAATGATACATTTATACCTGCTTTTTCGATGAGGAATTATCTGGTTATTACAACCTGTATTTAATGTTATATGAAAATGTAGAAGATAGTAACAAAGTAAGCATCTTCAGAACATCATTCATAAATGATGATGGAAACAAAACGTGAGTAAAAATAAAAATGTACAAGTATAGATAGTTAAGCAATGCGCGCGTTACAAATTCCTTGAATTACTATTCCTTGATGGAAACCATTTCCGATACTTTACTGTCGTCAAGGCATATAAACAACTTTAATCATAGACAGAATTGATCTCGAAATAGCGTCCACAAAGGCTAAATTGTACATTCCTCGGCTCAACCTTTAATAGACACAATAATTGAATATTTATATACAATCAGACAAAGGGAAGAACGGCGTAGTCGGTCAGGACTGGATCTTGATTGTCCGAATAATATAATATTAATTTTTGAGTAACTTTTATTTATGTACAATTCTTTGCCCTGGCATACCACGCGCCGTTACTTTCGGACATAACGCAGTCTCAACCAAGTCATTCAATAATTAATATTATATATTATTCGGACAATCAAGATCCAGTCCTGACCGACTACGGCGTTTTTCTCTTTGTCTGATTGTATATCTTACACGGTCGTATAATTTCATATTTATTGTGAATGTTTATATTTATCTCAAATATACCCTTAACATGTCTCAGATGGTTAATCGCGACAGACCTGTGGCCAATATGGGAGCTCGACGATTGTTTCCTT